GAGAGAGAGAGAGATTGCGCGCGGCTGGAACTCGGCAGAAATCGGCGAGTATGCTCGAGAAGACGAAATCGAAGGCGAAAAGCACTACACGCGTAGAACTCTTTCCCTACGTCTCGTCTCTCGGTGAAAAGCGGCGGGTGGGGAGGGTTGTAGGTTGGCGGAGGGTTTAGAATCGCTGAATAAAGAGCCGAAGGGCTGGAAAAGGGTTGGGCGGCAAAGTTGTCCGTGGAAAGCGGCTCGCTCGGCCGCAAACTCGATAAAGTTGCGAGGCGCGGCACTCGTTGTGTATACGGGACGGTGTGGGACAGGATGAGACAGAAGGAGGAGTCGTCTCGCGCGCCGTTTCCGCTTCCGGTAGTCGGCGGCAGACGACGAGTTCACGATAGCGAATTGGAAAGGAGCGAACCGGGAGAAAATCGGATTTCCCGACGCGCAATACAAGTTTCGCGTTCATCGTCGAGTCTGTTTCACGGACTGTTTCGTCGTGATTAAAAAAAGCCGCGAAGCGCGACAACGCGCGAGAAGAAACGACAAATCGTATCAAGTGCAATTTGTCATTTGCAATCGGAAAAGGGAGAGCGATGTTAGCAAAGCTCACATAATTAGCCGGACTACGCTCTCCGATTAACATTCCAGCCAACTGCGGTTTAATTAAATTTTTTTTTACTTTGTTCATTTCTTTGCTATCGAAGATCGTCGTGTCTCATTATTTTTTGTCTTTGGATTTATTTTCTTAGCGAGAGCTTGCCTCGAAAAAGTCAATGTCTTTCCAAATCGCGTTCGCCAAATTATTGCCGTCTAATTAGTCGGATTTCCAGATACCGAATAACGCTTATAATATAAATATAAGTGTCTAAAATCGTGCATGTTTTATGCAGTTCTAAGTAACCTTAAGTAGTTTCTAAAAAGTCGCCAGATCTGCGGAAATCAAGAAGAACGAGAGACCGAACAGACTGCATCGAAAAGACACAACATGTCTGAAAGAAGATCTCTCAATTATGTACTAAACAAGTAAAACATTATTTGAGCTATTCATATCTTCGATTGCCGGCTTCAAACTTACAATAAGAACTTTGCCACTCGCTAACAAAATCTTAAAACAGTGATTTTGACACATATTGACGTCAAAAAATATACCCGAGTCGAAATTTTTCTCCATTTTTTGACCTTAATGTTCAATCTAACACCTACTTTTGACCAAAATGTTCAATCTAATACCTAATTTGATACTTTAAGCAGTCACATTACCCTATTCTGAACCTATTTAACCCCTGGCTCTTTACCGAAACTTCTCTTTTAAACCTCATAATAAGAAACAGTTCGTTTACTGCCTATTTGAGGTACAAAATAACAACAAATACAATACAATACCCGAGTCGAAATTTTTCTCCTATTTTCAACCTTAATGTTCAATCTAACACCTACTTTTGACCAAAATGTTCAATCTAATACCTAATTTGATATTTTAGGCAGTCACGTCACCCTATTCTGAACCTATTTAACCTCTGGCTCTTTACCGAAATTCCTCTTTGAAACCTCATAATGGGAAACAGTTCGTTTACTGCCTATTTGAGGTACAAAATAGGAGCAAATACAATACAATACCCAAATCGAAATTTTTCTCCTATTTTCGACCTTAATGTTCAATCCAACACCTACTTTCGACCAAAATGTTCAACCTAACATCTAATTTGATACTTTAGGCAGTCACATCACCCTATCTTGAACCTATTTAACCTCTGGCTCTTTAATGAAACTCCTCTTTTAAACCTCATAATAAGTAACAGTTCGTTTACTGCCTATTTAAGGTAAAAAATAAGAACAAATACAATACATACATATTTTTATATAAATGAAACCTATCAAAATCCTCCAGAATCCGTAAACGTGAAAAAATAGAGGTTGAAATTAGGAATAATATTTCGACTCGGGTACATACATATTCTTATATAAATAAAACCTATCAAAATCTTCCAGAATCCGTAAACGTGAAAAAATAGGGGTTGAAATTAGAAATAAAATTTTGACTCAGGTATATACATATTCTTATATAAATGAAACCTATCAAAATCCCTCAGAATCCGTAGACGTGAAAAAATGGAAGTTGAAATTAGGAATAAAATTTCTCGAGTATACTTTTAAAATTAAGACTCCGATTTCGATCCGCGTAATATAGTATACAGGTGATAAGCAACGCATACATAAAACGATGCAAAATGATATTTTATTCGAACACAAATGTTAAAACATATACACATGACACTTGGCATGCGTCTCCGCTTTCAAATGGACGATCCCGCAGGATCGTCTGGTCGCATACCTGGCTCAGATGCGTCACGTGACTCGCCGCATAGTAACTCGCTCTGGAGCCGCACGGTCTCGCGTACAGCGGCTCGAGGTCGGCGATGGTGGCGTAACTTCCGGAATTCGCGCTTCCGGGCCGTGGGTCGACTTTAACTAAAACGGAACTCCTGGCTAGGCCGCCGGTCTCGGCCGCGGAGTAACTGCAGCAGGGTAGAGTTTTCCTGAAAGGACGAAAGGATCTCAGCGGGCGATTGTTACACCTGGGTTAATTATCGTCACAATAGCGCGGCGCGCGCCGCGCCATCAAGGCGGGCGCTCCACCCGAATTGTCACGGATCTCGCAGACGGTTTCGCCGAAGCAAATTTTACCTCGTCGAATTTCTTCTGCAAATGCCTTACCGACTTCGCTGTGCTGCGAACATCGCCAACAAGATTATTTTGGCGCAGAGCGCTTTAAAACAATAGATTTTTTTTTTTTCAAAACTTATCATTCGTCTCTTTTATATCAATTTATATCGGTAAAAATCAGGCAATTCATTGCCTGTGATACATCGAAGGATCCTTTACGATTGCTTTATGAAATCTGACGCGTACACTTCTCCCAGCAAAAGTGGCAAGAACGGTGCATTATCGTATTTCAAAAGCACACCCCATTCTACATCCTATACATAACCCTCAACTAGGAATTATCTTCGACAAGAAGTTCCTCGAGTATTCTCTATCTCTAGGAGGATTTACATCTCTCTCGTCCCGGATGAGCTTCCGAGAAGCTCGAAATAATCCTCTCTCTTTCGTACCGACGACGATCTTTCGCGACAAGAAAGCGCACCAATTCGATTTCACCTCAGAAAGCTACTTTGACATCATTCATTGACCCTGAAACGCGATTTTCGTTTCAGATCATTGGTTAGAGTTGTGCTTATTTTTTTTAGTACAAATTTTTGAAAAAATGTACATAAAAGTTGTAGAATTTTGCATCTTCAAAATGATAATTAAACTCTGTTTTTGGTCAAAATATCTTGAAATGTTTTGCATTATGACACATTATCGTTTCACGCATCGCTAAACTCTACAATTTTTGTACCTAACATTTTTCTTCGAAAATATTGAATTTTCAAGACATTCGGGAGATTCGGGATTTTTTTAACCATATAGATGGATGTACGCTGCGTAAGTTAATAGAGTTTGCGGAGCGGGTCGTTAAAAGTAAAGGCATTGTTCCCACAGCAGCGAGACGTTCTAAAGAGACCGAAAAGAAGAAACAGGACGGAATGACGACTGAAAAATACTGGCGAGAAATAGAAGAGCGGGTATTTTTAGCGATTTATTGGCCGTTTCGTGCATGTAAATCTGCCGCCAAACGTATTCGCTAAAAAGACGAACGATGGAAAAACGCGCACTGCCATCGATTTCAAATATCCCCTGTTCGTTCGGCTCGTTTATTTTTACGCGACCCTTACGGAAACGTTTCTCGCAGCCAGATCGACTTCCGGCGAATCCGTCTGCGCTTGCGAAAACGCGTCCTTCATCAGGACGGATACGTTAAAGCGCCGTTTGGAAAGTAATATCACTTATGTAACTCGCGTGCAAGTATTTGCGCAGAAATTTGCATAAATCGAAAATTTATAGCGAAATCGAGGACGTGCAATATATATTATTATCAGGGGCTTCGAGCGAAATCCGCGCGCAAACTAACTTTTAGCATAATCTGATAAGTTCTGAAAGAGAATGGTTTACAAGGTGTCTCGGGGTTCAATAGCCTTCCTTCAAAGGACGAGGCGATAAATCCGCCAACTCGTGAATAAATTATACATAGAAATAAGTCTCAAGTTTATATCGATATCCCGCAAGGATGGCTGAACCGCGCGAAGTCATTTGGGCTTGGCAAATTCACGGACCTCGCACACTGTTATCATACACACACACACACAAATACACTGACACACTTACATTTTGCACATAATAATCGGTATCATATAATTATCGCCCGCGCCGGAACCAGATGGCCGTAAGAGGGAACATTATACAGCGGTATATCGTGAACGTGATACAATATTTCGAAAACGTTGCGCAATATTTCTGAAATACCAATTAATTTTATAAACCAACGTAGCGCGAGGGTTCTCGGAAAAAAGAAATCAGTAATGTGTTTAGAATTACGGAGGGAGAAAGATCAATCGAATCAATATCGAAACACAAAAATAAACATCCCGGCGCAACGGGAGTAGAAGTTGGAAGACTTGCAACGAAGTCCCGATGCGAGTTTCGCGAGTGGCGTAACTACTGCGGAGGAGAAAACTTTTCGCTTGCTTTGCCGAATCTCGAAGGTGCCTTTTGTACGTCGAGTTCGTCGATGCGGCAGGAAGGGCTTACGGGGGGGGGGACGAGGGGGGCGGCATCGTGTTCGCTCGAGCGAACGGATGTAAAATCTGCAGTTTTACCCCGCCGGCGGGGATGTACGTGGCGCGTCGGCGGAGACGCAGAGAAAGAAAGAGACAGAGAGAGAGAGAGAGAAAGAGAGAGGGCAAAACAAAGATCCCCGTTTCTCCGCGTGTTATCAGGGTGGAGAGCCTCAAAAGAGCTAATATATCCCGGGAGAGACAATTGGCCTACGCCGGGAGGAAACGCGAAGGAGAGCGAAAAGGCGGTACAAAGTGAGGGCGCGTCCCTATCTCGGGGCTCCTTATAAAAGGCCATTTTACCATGCGATAAATATTTGATGTCTCCCGATGCGGGATCATTGTTACGGATGATCGTGTTCAATCGCATTCGCGTCACGCGCCGACCAATTGCGCGTTGTTTGTTTCCGGGCGAACATCTGTTGCTTTCTTTCCTTTTTTTTTGTTTTTTTTCTGTTTTTTCCCCCCCGAACGCGCTCCGGTCAGTGCTACGGCGGGATATTGATTTCAATTCCGCGACAGATCGCTGCGTAATATTTCAATCTCGCGTAAAATAACACAGGAGTTAACGTAATATATCTTCCTGTGCGCTGCGTTTTTTTTACCTCGCGGTCTCCGCGCGGATCGATCGAGGAAAAACGAGATATAAATTCTCGATGCAATTACAATTTTTCCATTATACAAATATGTTAACAATTTTGTGCGCTCTTGTTTGCTCTGCAATAAGTACTTGATAAAATTACGAAATAATTGTATTACAAAAGGGGGGGAGGGGGCAAAAAAAAAGTGTTGGGACAAACGGTTTTGCAGTTAAGTTTCGCGAGTACGAACTGAAAAATGTAACGCAACATTTCTACGATAACAAAGTTCGTCGGGCGAGCAAATCCGCTGTCTATCGTTTAATGAGAAAGATTTGCGACAAGGAAACATCAAAAGAGCTAATAAATATCCGGGTAAAGGACAATTCGCCCTCTCCGGGACAAACAATAGGGGAACGGAAGGAGATGGCGGTAAGATGAAGTAAAAGTAGCTTTCCTCCCCCGCCCGACTCCGCCGTGGCAGTATGGTTTCTATCTCGTTCAAGTTCCTCGATTATGGCCCGCGAAGTGAAGGCACCGGAATGGAACATTCGATGCGCCAAGGCATAAAATAATTACAGCGAAAATAACGATCGAACTTTAAAAGCGGCAGCCGGAAGTTTTCGCATAATATTCGCCGTTAATGAGTGGAATGGCGCTAGAAACTCGGTCTGCTTCTCGTTAACGAGAAAAATTCATGACAAAGGCTTTTCCGAGGGCCCGATGTGTGTACTCGGATAAAGTTAACTGACTCTAACCGACGAGAAAAACGGCGGGCAATGAAAAGGAGCCGAAAAATTATTTCGATGCATAAAATACGCATGTGAAATTGATCGATTCTGTTCGCCCAGAAAGTGAACAAGGCTCGTCATTTACAATGATACAGCGCGTAAAGGCATTGTATTATAAAATAACGTAAAATAGACGAAAGATTCGCGCGCGAACAATATGTATAAAGTAATCAGAACCGACAATATTGTTTCAGAGGATCAGACGCAATATTAATTTCGGAAAATGCCGCGGCGACGCTGGAAACGCCGACTTATGCGCGCACACATGGTGAAAGGCGGTTCGGCGGACAAAAAAGGGAGAGCATGAATATGGAAAGAGAGGCGAAAAAGCGGATCCTCTTCTCGACCCCTAACATCCTCCTTACATTCTCGCTGGCAGGGAGTCCCCCGAAGGTACGAAGAACTGGGTGAGTATAGCTATGCAATAAAATGTCGGCTGCCATGCCAAGCGACCGACGGATCACCGGCGGCTTATTGAAAGGATATTTCATTCGGACGAGTTCCTCCCATCCAGCTTATCCCCGCGAATTTCCCGCGGGGGTGCGGAAATCTTCTCTCTCTCTCTCTC